TTTTGTGAGTCTAATCGCATTGCTGGAGTTGAGTTTACTATGAGTATTTCGTACTCTGAATTTATTGACTTTGACAAATCTTGTTTAGCTGGATGAAACGTATCATATTCCGACTAGATATATCAATTGATTTGGACTGCAAGCTTCAAGTGAAATACAGAGCACATGAGAGCAAGCAAAAGATCAACGTATGAACCGAGCTTTGGAAATCTGAATTTCAAAATTTGAGTTTTGTACACGTCATATAAAATAACTTAAACTATCYTCACCCGGTATCTCTTCGCATATATGAATAGTACATAGTAATTTATAAAGCGATAAGTTTTATTGACCTCTTTTATGCTCTATGGAAGGGATATTATTAGATTTGATATTAGAATCAAATCGACGGGTGGAAACAGATCGCGAATAAATATTTTTCAACTGATTTTCCATGCATGAAAAATTTTCATGGCCCTTTAATGATTAAAAGATTTAATTAAAACAGTTCTTAATACTGTGACGAATCTCGCTATTTTGTGTTCGGCAAAATCAAAACATGCTGAGATTATCATTCCTAAGAATCTCTATAACAATCTGCCTTTTTCCTGTAAAAGCGACTGAACGCTGCTTTACTGAGCAGGACGCTTACAAAAAAATCATTTGCTCCACAAATTTACATATTTTTAGCATATAGTAGAGCAATAGCACAGTTGAACNAGATCACAAAGAGCAATACACAAGAGATTATATGAATGTACAAAATGGAATTAGTAATGAGCAGCAAGGTGTGCATTTGTTTATAAGGTACTTAATACAATTTCATCACCCTTTGCATTTTGCCACTACACGTTTGCATTAAAATTGTGTTTTCAAGCTAAAGACAACTCAATTTTCTTTACCATGCAACATCCTAGCTGCAACTTCAAAATATTTCGTAATACAATTTCACTTAGTTTGTAAAATTAGGACATGAAAACAGTTGTCTCCTGTGTATTTTAAAAGTAACTTTGTACATTCATATAATCTCTTGTGGATTGCCCTTTGTGACAGATAAACTGTTCTGGTTCAAGGATAACGTAGCTAGCCCAAGAGTAGAAAGAATAGCGAAAAAGAAGAAATGAAATGAAAAATTAGACGCCTGCGGAAGAGTCTATAGGACGACGACGTTTTACGAATAYGACAGGCGCTAAAACAGACTCCAWTTTGACTGTTGRTTGGACGTMCATTGTTAATTTTAATTATTTTTCCTTCAATACACAGAATAAAGGCTGTAACTTTGAAGAGCAAAGGCCAAAAAAGAGTTTTCATTAAAAATGACTAAAGGTGGATCTAGGAAAGAGGTAGCTTTTCATCACAGTAACGGATCTGTAAGTCCGAWTGAAAATGGGCWAGAGCATAAAGAGATTAAGAAGACAGCAATGAAACCAAGTACCCTTACGCGAGATGAGGTCCAGAACTGCCACCGTGAGCCATTCATCAATTCAGGATACAGAGAGTCTGAAAACATCACAGTACGACAATGCATTGCCACTCTCTTCACCRTCCATAACGAAACATTCAACATTTGGAGCCATCTTATCGTAGCAGTGGGACTTTTCCTTTACTTTATGAGCCACATTATTGATCATGCCATTGTGGGAAATCCCTCGATCTACCCCTTGCTCTGTTATGTAATTGGCAGCTCTAGTATGTTTCTTTCGAGCTCGCTTGCTCATCTGTTTTGCTGTATGTCGTGGAAAGCACGACATGTTTGTTTTTATGTCGATTATGCAGCAATCGGTGTTTGCAGTTTAGGATCTACTATAGGATTCATATTTTATTGTCGACCTTCACCGGAGCAATCCTCTGTTTTGCACACTAATCCTTATTATTTCCTGGGCATTTCAACCGGCATAGCTGTAATTAATACCTATTTTTGTTGCATCTCTCGCCATCGACTCTCAAAATACCGCTTTCTGCTTCGAACTGGAGTATATCTCATTAAAGTCCTGTTTGACTTGTCTCCCTATTGGGCTCGCTGTGGCCTTTATCAGTCAAATATCTGCAGTACCTTTGTCCTCGACGCCTTTGAGCGTTTTAAGTTTTGTTTCATAGTGTCTGCAATAGTGAACGTGACACAGTTACCAGAGCGTCTTTTTCCTGGCCATTTCGATTTGCTTGGTAATAGTCATCACTTCATACACGTTTTAACTCCTGTGGGAGTCTACAATGTCTTTCATTTGTTTCTTTATGAGATGATTGAAAGGAAAGATTTAATATCCACCTCACAATACCCACCAACCTTTCTAACATCGTTTGGCTTTCTCATTGTTCTGACGTCCATCAATTGTTGTGTTGTTGTGTGGTTTGTTTCGAATTGGCTTCAAGCTGAGGAAGAGGAACTATTTTCTGGTTCAAAGTATCTAGTTTTCCAGAAGAAGTCAAGTGAAATAAAGCGTCATCTGGCAAATGATCTGAAAAGGCTTAAAGTGATGTAATAATAATAGAGAGGTTTAGCATGACGTTCACGGCAAACGCCAAACGGCAGAAAAGATCACGTGACCTGGTATTTTTGAGTTTAACGTTGCAGTTTCAACGCGAGAGCGGGTTATTTTCAGGTTGCCATAGTCGTGAAAAGCCGCTCTTTCAAATGACTACCAAAAGCACAAGGTCGGGCACAAAATTCTTAGGTCATCGGTTCAGCTCTGCCGTTAGCCGTTTGCCGTCAACGTGATGCTAAAACTCTCTAATGCGTCACCTCTGCCGTACTCTACGCAAATTATGTAAATCTCTTGTATTCTCACATAATTTCATGCTTGATAGCCACGCTTATATGAGGTGGAAAGTTACATGTTGTTATACACACGAGTTATGTATCACTGTAACCGTTGGAAAAACCCACATGTTATTCTCTTACTTAAATGTAAATTGAAAATAAGCCTTCTAATTTATCAAATTCATTTTGCCTTCTAAGTTTAAAATCAACACTTG